CACAACATACGTTTCGTTTTTCTCTCGTGACATAAAGAAAAACTTGAACAAAACGCTTAAATATAATTAGCCAATATATTTTTCCATTGAAAACTGCTTACGAAACATCTACAATTTACAAGTGAATGTTCCGTTGATTGTGCAAGAGAAGGGCGTTCCACCTTAATTAACTATAACACTTTCACAAATTTATAGAATTAAGAATTCATAAATCTAGAACCATTTGTGTTTATTTGATTTGGTTTTCAGAGCATTGAAAACAGCTTGATAACAATCAATAGTGAAGACCATTGATGATTTATGAACTTTAATAATAAATATGCCAAAAGTTTGCATAATGTTATGTGGACGATTATTTTATTTTTGTCCATGGTCAAATAGCAACATCAGTACAAAAAATGACAAGAAACAAAGGAGTTCCTCGTACGTAAATGATATTATAACAGTACAATCATACACTACGTATAAAAATCGAAAGTCATGGCATCGTGGCGTAGCACTCATTTTTTCTATTTGGTTCTTTTTCATTGGATAACTTTTATCAGGGCTTGCATATATTTTCCCTCACCGCGAGGTTTAACGCAGATAATTATTAATTCTTCATTCTATTGTTAATTGTTCGTAAATGACTACCAAGAAATTTCGCATTGTAATTTATTTTGTTGTCACTTTATTTTACAATAAATCCGGGAAATATGTATAACGGATAATGTAGTGAGCAAGCGCGGCCCTACACCGCCGGTACAGCTGGTGGTCGCCACATCTTGGAGACAGCGGGCCCGTGGCGAGGTTATAGGAAGACTTCGGCGAAGCACTTATCCAATTTAGGGTTATTATGATTTATTGACTTCGTGCGCGACCTAGACCGACCGAAGAGTCTTTTTAATACGGCAAAAATAAACGGACTGGTATAAGACTACGGGCGCCGTACATTTAGTGTAATCTGCATGTACTAAACTAGAAATATGCTTAAAAAAATCATAAATTGTGCAGAGATAAACATAACATCAGCAGATTATTATCGAAATTCTAAGGCAACTCAGACATATTTTTATTCATTTATTCCGAAACATTGTTAATCGGTACAGAGTCGAATTACAGGAAAAACCACGAGGAACCAGGTACGGAGTGATCCTGGTAACCCTTACATTACTCTAGAGAAAAAACTTTTGTCTTTACCAAATAAAATATAATATCTACAATGTTGTGGCTCCATTGCTGTCCTCATCGCGTAACTGTGTCGCAACCATCTAATTCTATTGCATAAACGATTTCGGCGACGCCCTTTAGCATGCATAATTTAAATCGATTTCAAATAGGCACACGATCGTGACGTCCCCCGGTGGTAATAGTAAGTAAATTCCATACTCGTTTTAACATATGTACGATTTCATTACTTAATACTACCCATACTACATATTTATGCTGTTACTATAACCTCTTTGTCAAAATCATTTTACCATTCCTTAAAATAAATATTATCTCATGAATCGAATCCTCAATTGTTTTAAATCAATTATTTTGGTCGTAATCAGAATAATTAAAAAATATATGGATTATCGCAGGCGGTTTAAGGATAAGGAAGGTTCATCGTTTTTTACCTTTCCTTTCACCTTTCTTTGAAATTTGATTAAAAAACGAATAAGACGCATTTTGCATTCACGTCCGTTGCCGGATACATTAAACATTAAACGCAGGACATTCGCTTACCTTGGACTCGGCGGATAAAAGCTCTAAATCCTATTCACTTTATATATTCACTTGTTATAGCTCTATTTACGGGAACGCATTTCGGTATGCCGTATGCCCCGCTCCATACCGTTATTTGCTGATTTTATGCTTTATTTGTTATTCCAACTTAGAATAGCATTATGATTACGACGCAAACGGCGATGGTATTAATCTGCCACTAATCGAATGCGTTCCGCCCTTTTTAAAATTGCTACTTTTTGACCGCTTTCCAACATTCATATTTCCGAAACAAAAGTTAATCGTGCCCTGTCCGCAGACTTGACTTAGGCAAAGAAGATGAATAGTACGATGTTTTATTTAGTCCATAAAGAGTTAAATATTGAATAAAATTATCAATCAAATACGTCATCAACTTCCGTATTATAAAAATTAACAAAAAGTCAAAAACCTATCTAATCTATATCTGTTCACTTCAATACAGCTCGTATTGAGGGAGCTATGCAGTGGAACCTAGGGCCAAAAGTCTTCGCCAGAGATTTGTCTATCGGACAAAGCCAAATGACTAAATTAAAGACTGACAGCGGCGCTATCATCTCCAGTAGACCAGTGTTTCAGTGTCAGGTTTTGAGTGAGATTCAGAGGTTCTATGGACAGCTGTACACATTCGTTGAAGCGACACACACGTGTGAATGACGCTTGTCTGACAGTATTACAGTCAGTCCGAGCGAGATCAGAATGGCTCTTGACCATCTTAAGAATGACAAAGCATCAGGAGAGGATGGAATAACAGCAGAACTTCTGAAATCGGGTGGGGAATCGGTACTTGTGGTCCTTCAGAAGCACTTCAATTCCCTTCCTCTCTGGTGTTTCCTTCCTTCCTTCTGGATGCTACTACATGCTACTATACCAGAGGCGAGGAGCAGAAGTGTAGTGGTGCTGTTCTTCAAAAAAGGTGACAACGCTCTCTTGAAGGATTATAGACAGATAGACAGATATCCCTTCTAAGCCGTATTATGTGCTGTTTTAAAGATTCATCTAGGATCGTGTCGCTTCCTGACTCTACGACTTCCAGCCTCCAGAACAAGCCGTATTCAGAAAAGGTACTTCAGTACCATAGGCCACGTACACAAAAGGTATGGTCCGAAAAGTATAATCTTCCTTTATGCCTACCATATGTGGATTATGAGAAAGCCTTCAATTCTCTCGTAATTTGGGCGGCGAATCCAGGCCCTCCAGTGATGCCAAATTGACGACATCAAATAATGGCGATAAAAGAAAGAATATTTTATATTCTTCTTTTTTTGTAAACACCGTTATTATCTAAATAGCGTTATCTATGTAGGGACTAAATTATTAATGCTGCTATCGCAATATTTATAAGGTAAATGAATACATATTCGCAAGATCGTGATATAATATATTTATACGGTCATTAAGTATGGAATTCGTCATCTCCGCTGACCCGCATCAGATAAGCATTTAGTATCCCCGCAATTTGTATGAAAATACAGGAAAATGCAGTTCAACGGGTTTTGTCAAACTATTCAAAGGATTGTGAAGCCAAATGAGCTTCCGTTGCCAAGTAAATGGCTATTGTTTTATGACAGCCAGAGTAAATACAAAACTTCATTAATCGTGTAGGAGATTGTTTTTTGTAATGATCTTTCATACGAATCTAATAGTAAAATATAATTATGTTTAAAAGCAGGGCTTAATAATTAATGTTGATTAAGGGTACCCATGCTATTGCTTAGCGACCAAGCTCCTCCGGGGAAGTAGGTCCTTCCGCCTGAAAGTAGACCAGAGTGAAGTGGAATTTTCACTCGTTCGCGTTCACTAGACGCGTCCTTGATGTATCAATAACATATCGTTAACCGAAGTTAGGTCCGTCTTCACTCCAAATGCGTTCAACAGTTATCGATACGATGCGCTTCATTAAAAGCTCCTTAAGCTTAAGTCTTCACTTTGTTTATAAACTGCCTAACACGACATAAAAAAAGAAGAAATGGATATTTGTTGATCATTTAAAATTTTACAAGGGCGTATTTATTTAAAACTAGCTACTGGCCGCGACTATGTCTGCGTAGAATAGATTGAAGATGTAACAGTAAGACAGAAAGACTGATATACATAAAATATGTATATAAATTATAGCCTATATCTTATTCTGAGGTATAAGCTATATTATTGTAAAGTTTCATTAAAATCCATTCAGTAGTATTTGCGTGAAAGAGTAACAAATATCCATCCATACATACAAACTTTCGCCTTTATAGTATTACTAAGGATGTATTGTGTACGCATATAATTTAAAACCCCAGAATTGACCAATGAGTCACCTAATGTATTAGAGCAGTTGAAACTAGAATATAACAGATATCCAAGCATGTTTAAGTTTGCACCTGATGTAACCGACAGGCTCACCACATGTCCTTTTGATACCAAAAACTTCATACAAATCAAGTAAAAGAGCCAACTATTGAGAAGTGGTTCTCTTATAAGCAGGGCACAAAAAATATGTAAATGTAAATGGAAAATTAATGGCACCACTAAGATAAGAACAAAAAAGAAGACAAACCCTCAATCATTATATCTTAGCTCAATGCCCAACCCTTAGTCCATCAATTTCTGTTTTAGTAAAATAATAAATGATTCTAGAAATAAATAAATTTTGATTGAAATTATGAACTCAGAATTAACATTTATGGGCACATTTAATGAATGAATAGGACACACATGAATAGGACAATAATACTTATCACAAACAAAAAGGAATGACTTATAAAATATTAATTTATGTGACATGTATGATAAATTTTAAACTTCATGATTGCAAACATCAGGAATAATAAACAACAACTGCAATGTTTATTTAACAGAGCATTGTGTCCATGATAACACTGAGTTATTAGCTTTACAATACAAATTAAGGTCTCGAACACAGGCAGAAAAAACATAGAATGCACAGACCCTACTTATTTTAAACTTAAGTCCCTATATGTAAGAGGTGGTGAGAGAACTCTTCAATTGTTACATTTATAAAACTAAACTAGTTATATAAACCTATGGCTGGTTTAGTAAGAAGGGCTGAGGAAAATAGATTTTACTGATAACTAAATGGCTTAGAAAACTGGGGACCTACAGTTACGGTTTTAAACACTTTTGAACATGAAAAATTTGCTTCCCTTTTAATAATTTTCCTAACATATAATTGTAAAATTTCCAACAACATTGAAACTTATAGTATAGCGACTCTTATGCAATCTATACATATTTATGGTATTAAAATAACTTTGTCACAACCCTACCTTAAATCTGGTAGCTGATGGTTGGTCCTTAAAACGCGATGGTTTGTCCATGTCCCGAAAGCTACTTTTCGTTACTGGGGACCTGGAATGCAACGCGAGTGCCCCCTCGATGTTATCATTAGGAAGTAAACTATCATTCTCAGAGGTCTCCTTCTTAAATTGCAACCCAGCTTCAATGTCATCATATTTTATACTCTCGGCTGGATACTGAATGTTTCCGTTTGTCGCTGCCATAGACTTCGCAGAACTTATTTTACGGAATCTACCGATAATCACATCTTCTTCATCGCTAGCAGGCACATTCACTTTCTCAACAAGCACGTGTTTATTCTGATTTAACTGCGACTTAACTGGGCTTAATTCTATATCCTTTTGTGGTGAACCCATAGTTATTAATTTAGTTTTAAACTCAGTTTTAATTCAAAAATAATTAATTTTAATCACAATCAACTACAATAATAATTTCCCTTTACTGGTAATAAAAAGAACCGATAGACTTTTAGGAGGGAACTATCTCTATAATTTATTCTGATTTTGTTCAAAATTTCAGTCAACTTGTAAGCTAAGGTTAAAATTTGTAACAACGCGAAATAGTCGCATTGTGAATCAAAGGGACACCTGTTCTACACAACGGTTACAGTGACAATGAAATTAAATGAAAGAATAATTATCAATGAAAAACTTTTACGACATTGCCAGATGCAAAGTAAAATTGTTTAACAGATTATATACATTGTACTGAAAAATCCCGTGGTAAAAACCATAAAAAATTATTGATTACTTCAAGTAATTTACTTATATTTTCACAAATATGGTTAAATAAAACTCTACTATTCGCATGGATGTAAGCAAAAAATATTCGAAACGTCGGGAATTCAAAATATAATCATAATCAAAATAGAAGAAATCCGTAAAATAGTGTTTCCAACAACGTTTTCTTTAGATTTAAAAAGTAAAAAGTAAGTAACAGCCTATACATGTCCCACTGCTGGGCAAAGGCCTCCTATATACAGAGGGTATCAGGGCATAGTCCACCGAGCGGCCCCACTGCGGTTTGGCGGACTTCACATATTTTCGAAATATATATTTTTTGTTATTATTTCGAAAATATGCAGGTTTCCTCACGATGTTTTCCTTCACCACGGAGCACGTGATAAGTCAGCACTTAAAGTTAAAAACTTCATTGGTGCCGGCACCGGGGATCGAACTCAGGCTGCTCGAGTATATTGAATTAAAGGCGAGCGCCCGGACACTGAGCTATCACGAGATTTAAATGTATGTTTTATTTATTTTGAATTATTGTTTTCTTTATGTGAGATCATGGCACGTGAGCAGGCGGTTTACCTGATGGTCATTGATTTCCCTCGTCTATAAACATCTATAACAGGAATGAGCTATACTAGGTTAAATTAAGTACCTGTTACTATTACTGTTCATTAAAAGTAACAGTGACAAATACCTGTTACAAAATAACAGCCTGTTATTTGATAATATAATAAATATTTATTTAGGACACTAGTCCCAAAGTAAGCAACGCTTATACTATGGGTGTAAGATACCCGATAAACAAACTTAAACATACTTTTCTTTTTTAAATGAATGCATATTATAAATATATAAACACCCAGACACTGGAAAAATGCTATGTTCATCACACGATACAATATTTTTTTAGGAGTGGGGATAGACCACCTTTTGGTGCGAGAGGTAGATTCAATCTCTTGAATGGTAGATGTGGCTAATGGGATCACTTTCAAGCCAAAAAGACACTTTAGGACTGATAAGAAAACTGTTTATTTCAACTTAAACATTTTGAACTTATTTTAGACGAAACGTAATCATTATGAAATTTATGTAAAATACAAGAGTTATGTCATATAGCTAGACATGTTACTTCTCCAAACGATTTTAACGGAATCAATCAATTATGACAAAATTCAGTCTGAACAAATAAAATTAACATTCCAAATTTAAAGTAATTCAAACATAATACATAAATCAAATAGTATAGAGAGTATATCAAAAGAGTATGTATAATCTGAGATTACTAATCAACACAATCAACCCACTACGCCAATCGAGTCGTCAAATTATGTTGTGACAATCTATGTAATTGTTACTATAGTAACATCTTACCGTAAGGTAACGTCTGTACTTCTATTTCTACAAAGCTAAAAGACCAATGCAAGAATAACAAAGAGCTTGTAATAGTGACAGTGTTCAGGAACAGCTGTGACAAGGTGTAACAGTTTTTATCGCTTTCAAACTAAGGTAACACTCGTAAGCATGAATAAAGAAAAGCTTGTAATACCGTGTTAAGGAGCATTTTGTGTGGAACAGGTACTTTTAGTTAAGTTTTTTCGTAACAGGTACAGTCTTTTATATCGAGATACGATAAAAACGCCTCACTCCCACATCTATATCAACACTTGGGGCCTGTGGGGATGCACACACGTTGCTACCTTTTAAAAGGGGGCTCTACATTTTTTAGACCTTTAGTCCATTTTACTCTATGTACAGATTGGATTATTTTTAGGTATTACAACACAAAAAACCTGTTCTGTTTCTTAATTTATTTAACAAAAAGCAAAACATCATGCAGTGGCAACCCTGCTGTACGTACATACAATAACACATTTGATTTGACAGGTTAACCTTAACGTTAGAAATTTAAGTGTTAGCCAGACCCTGGTAGTAATAGTCACAAGGACGCTATAAATCCGGCCGCCGCCAAGGACGCACACCCATAATTACTTTTGTAAACTTCATGGTAAACAATTCTAAATTAATTTAGAAACTCAAAATTGTCGCAAATATGTACTTTTTGTAATGATGTTGCTGACCTAAACCATAAATAATTTTCATAATCTTGGTGTCCGAACTAGAAAATATAAATACACAGGTATTATATGATTTGCCAAAACTTCTTCAAAATATTATAGTTTATATATAAATTCATTGTAAATACAATAGGTATAAGTAACTTGTAAAAGTAGTTTTTTTAAGCATTACTTGATTCCAGGGCCGTTAAACTAATAAAAAAAAAAAAATAAAAAAAAAAAAAAATACATACAATAACACATTTGATTTGACAGGTTAACCTTAACGTTAGAAATTTAATGTTATTATTTCTAAATTAATTTAAAATAATACGCATAAATATATCATGTGTTAGAGTGTATGAAATATAGTAAATTAATTCAAGAAAAAACTAAAATGGGTTTTGATGAAGGCAGCATAGTCTTGAATAGTGAAAATGAAACTTATTTTGCAGGACAAGTTATTTACGGCAAACTGGTGTTCCAGCAGAACAAAGTTAAAACATTTCGTGGTAATATTAGACTTTATATTCGTATTGTTTCTTAATTCTCTTAATACAAAATGACCAAATCCCCACCTCGGGTGACAATAAGGAAATGAAATGTATTTATAACATATAATTATGAAGAAAATATAAAAATAACAAGGCATAAAATAAGTTTTAAGTCTCTTTTAACTTTCACAATTTCCTCTTTTGTTTATGTTTTGGTTTATTTTATTACTTCAAATAATATTAAGCTGTAATTACAGCTTAATATCATCTCTTAAAATTTCACATTATTTAACTGCAAGATATTTTAATAAATCTATTATCTAAAAAAATATTTTGATATATAAAAAATATAGATAAATAAAAGAAATTAAATGAAATTAAAATCAAAGAAATTTTTGGTTACCTGTACAAGGGGGGGTGTACCCAGGTGTGCTTTTTGAAGGTGTAACTTATTGGAGATATACTCTGTTTCTTCTGCATATCAATGACATGTTGCAAATGTTCATTGCTATGCAGACAATTGCACTTGTACACTGGCCGAGCTAGCATTTCTCGAGAACACGAGTGTCTGAAGTTGAGACTTTGTTAACCTAAGTCTCAGACTGGGGTCGACTAACTGCAAGAGCGAACACTGTTGTGTGGTTCTACCACTGTAAACTGCTAAAAAGTCCCGATTTGTCATAACTCCTTTTTTCGGGAACACTCCCCTGTCTGCCACAGCTAGTATCGGAATACTTGGCGTCGAAATCTCGAAAAATGTTCAGTTCCATCGTCAATTGGAAGGTAAGGTCCAATTAGTCTCAAAGAAGCTTGTTGTGCTCAGCAAGGCGAGATAGTACTTCACGTCGGCTAAACGCCTAAACCTTTATTAGGTGCAAATTCGGCCCCACATGGAGTACTGTTCTCATCCCTGGGCGGGAGGCCTTATTACCTTATTAGCTTCGGCTGAATTTCACCATTGGACACAATCAAAAATTTCATCCATACCACCTTGTTGTCCAGCGTTTCACAATAGCTCGATTTTCAAGGCATTTCCTGCCTCGCACAACTACTCTGTAGAATCAGCTGTCGCCGGCGGTCTTTCCGAACCATTACGACCTGGAAACCTTCAAGATGAAAGCATACTCTTTCCTAAAAGTCTGTCAACACATTTGTGAAGAAGTGTGTGTAAGAAATTGACTTAAAACTTTATATCCCTATTCTATAAAAATTCATACTTAAAAAAGGAATTTACTACTTTGATCTCCTTTTAATAATTTTAGCAAAATGAATAGAGAAATTTTAATACATAATTTGTATTAATTAAGCGTTGTTAATGTAACATGTAATTAAGAATACAATGTGATTAACAACACTACAAATAATGATTACAATATGTTAACAGGTATATATGTAAAGGTAAAAGGGTTTTGTAAAGTTCACTGGACTACCAGTCATACTCGTAGGGAGAATGACCGAAGTTACACATATACAGAAAATCATGATTCTTATGAAGAATATTTCAACATGAAAGTGTTTTTGCTTGGTGGAGAAAATGGTGAGTGGCTTTGCATTTTTTGCCATTTATAGGAAATGTAAATAAAATTTGGAAAATACTTTATTTTTCTCAAAAACAGTTGGCAACCTTATATAGCACCCTACCTAAATATTTTTTTATTTTGTTTTCTTAGTATTTGTTGTTATATATCTTGTGATGCCAGTTGTAAGTACTATATTACTGTATGTCTATTAATACTGAAGCTCATACTTTTTTAGTAATTTACGGCAGACAAAATAGAAACCAGTTAAAACTGTTTCTCTGGTAAGATCCTAGATGTAGAACTTTTAATTGACAAGTATAATGTAGATATCTTGTGCTTTACTGAGACATGGCTCAATGATATGACATTTAGTATAAAAAATATTCAGTAGCCAGTAAATTTAACAGAGTATCTGCTATGGGAGGGGGGTGTCTCATCCTATATAGACATACTTTGAAATTAAAACAAAGAAATGATATTGTTGCATACTCTGTTGAACGACTATGTGAGATTGCTTGTGCAGTGTCTATAGACCACCCTCAGCTGGCCTTATAAATTTTTTATTAATTATTGAAGATATCTTGAGTAAAATATTTAAAATAAAAAAGCATATAGTCATTTGCGGTGACTTTAATATTGATTTACTGACAGATTCTCCAGATAAAGCGAGTCTTCTGTCACTTCTTATAACATTTAATCTTTACTGTGTTTTCAATGAACCAACAAGAGTAACCCCATCCTGTGCCTCTTGTATATATAATATTATAGTAAATTGTAAAATTGTTGACCAAGAAATATTGAGTGGCATTAGATCTGACCATAAAGCCCTTAAAATAGACATGTATGTTAATAACAAAAATAATGTTATTATAAATGAGTGTAGGCTTCTTAATAAATTCAGAATTAAGCAGTTTAGAAATAGTGTCAAATACAAGCTACCCTTTTTAAAATTAACTAATAATGATCCCAATGACAATTTCAATGCCTTGTTTAATATGATTACTTCAGAATTTAATATAATTATGGAAAAAGAAAAACTATAACTTTAGGCAATAAACTTTGCATTAGTGAATGGGCAACTAGGGGAATTAGAAAGAGCAGGGATAAACTATATGATCTATATGGTATTAAGTAATTATCTTGTGATCTTAACTTCCATGAATATGTTAGGAATTATTGAAATTTTTTTAAAAGGTTCTGTACCTTAGCTAAACAAACTATTAATAAAAAAAAAGCAAGCTAAAGCAAAAATTTAAGTATTAAAATTAAATTGTCTTCAAATAAAGTTTTCAAAAAAAGTACATGGAATGTAATAAATAAGGAAACTAGCAAAAACAATGAGAAAAGGCAGATTTTACATTAAAAATTAATGGCGAAGTTATAAAAGAAAATTATAAAGTTTCAAATGAGTTTCTTAATGTCTTCACAAATATACATTGTAAAACTACTAGACATACTAAAACTTTTAAAAATTTAAATAAAAAGAAAACAGACAACCTATGGGACTTATTAATATGGGCAATTGATCTTATAATCTATGACATTGCTTGCACATTAGCACAAATATTTAATACATGTTTAGACAGTAGCAAATTCCCAAAGTTATGAAATAAAGTTGTGGCAGTATATAAATCAGGTTTGAGAGATAGTGCCTCTAATTACCGTCCCATCTCTATGTTGTCGGCCTTAAGCAAGGTGTTTGAGAAAATAATACTGGATCAAATGATAGTTCATTTTAATAAATATAAAATTTTAAAACAGCTCTAATTTGGATTTACTCTTAGATCTACAACTGATGCAGGGATAGAATTAGTCTCAGTCCTGCAGTCCTGGGAAAGCTTTCATGGCACCATTGGTGTGTTCTCTGACCTTTCCAAGGCATTTCACTGTGTAGATCATACAATTCTTATCAGGATTAAAAACTATTCTTATCAGAACTAAAAGGATTAAAAGTCCTACTATAACGTCCAAGAATACTCTGCACTTGCAAGACCCCTAGCTACTGCTGATTTTATACTTAAATAAGTTTGTATAATTACATCACAAAAAAAATAAAAAGAACAAGAACGCAGAGTTTCTCTGTTCAGGTCTAGGTTAGTGAACCGGTGGTAGATTTTTTGTTAACGTTCAATAAGAGCTTAAGTTAAGTCTATATTGAATTAAGATTATTTGACTTGGACTTTAAAATGAATTTCATGCTATTTCATATTTTTTCAGGTGAATATCACTTACAACCTGGCAAACATGAGTTGCCATTTGAATGTCTCATACCTGCAAACTGCCCATCATCTTTTGAAGGAACATATGGTCATGTACGCTATGAAATTAAAATTGTGGTTGACCGTGCTTTTAAGATTGATCAGGAGAAGAAAAAGGATATACGAGTTATCGCCCCATTAAATCTTAATGCAGATCCATATTGCCAGGTTGGCACATTCATTATAAACTTGCTTTAATGGCACATGACCAGGTGGTTGGTTACAGTGTTGTTTTAATTAGTGATTGAAGTTGCTCATGCCTCAAACCTCGCTAAACACTTGATAGGAAATTTATAAATACTTCTACTTCATAATTGTCTTCTGTAAAGCATGGTACAATAAATATTTGATTTTTTCAAAATTACTTGACTCAAATTGTCATTGGCTTAGTCTTATCCATATACATAACTCATACTGGATTTTATTATTATTTCTTTCATAATATTTAAATAGGAGCCGCTGCAGTTTGACATAGAGGACACATACTGCTGCTGCTGCATGAGCAGCGGTTCCAGCGAGACCGTAGTAAAGCTACCAGCGGCGGGCTTCTGCCCCGGACAGCTCGTGCCCGTCGAGCTCAACTGTTCCAATCAGGGCAGGGTTTGCATTGACCAGATCAAGCTGGCCATAAAAAAGGTAAACTATATGATACATACTCAAAGGCTAGCCTAAGAAGATATGCATGGGACACAAATCAAACATCGCTCATATCATATCGATTTTCTTCTTTTGATGGCATTTTTTATCTCAGGAGTACTTTTAGTTGTTAAACTCATGAATAATCTTGTCTCGTTGTATGAGTCTTAAGAAATATTGAATGAAGATTCCCTACTCGGACGACGGAACTCATTTTCCATAAATACACGAATTTTTAAAGTAAGTATCCATTATGACGAAAAATTTTCAAATGTAATGAAAATACAAAGCTAATCAAAAAACAAGACTGATTTTGTAAACAGATTTTAATTTTTGTAAACCAAAATTATTTTGAGTTTACAATTCACAGCCAATCAAAACTTTTTTTGAAATGGCCAGTACTGAACAACGCCAATTTCATAGGTAACCCATTATATTTTTACAGCTTCTTTATGTTAAAGAAATTACGACTTTATTTATACGTATGCAAATTTGTAAATCCAAAACTGAATGCACTGAAAGGACAAGAAGGTTGATATAAGAGTGACCCTAAAAATAAAGATCAAAAACTAAAACCCTAACGACTAAAACACACCTGAAAACTATAGACAAGGCTTCAATGTCGGTATATTTATGTATTAAAAATCACAAACAGAAAATGAGATAGAACTATAAAAAGAATATTTTTGTTCTTAGTCTAATATTATTTTATGATCATGACTTATTATAACTCATCCATGTATAAACGTTGAAGTCTTGTCTATCGCTTTTTGGTGTGCGCTTTTGTCGCAGCTAGTTGGATCGTAAGTCTTTAGACATATTTTATCTCGACTTTCAAGGGACTATGATTTCGGGCATTACTTAATTTTGATTCAACGTCAAAGAACGTCATCTCTTACGAACCTTAGGACTTTCAATGGAAACTCGGACCAGTTCAAACGTTCAGTTTTTTTGCTTGTACGATGGTATTAAGATTCATTCGGATTAATGAGCTTGGACATTTCACTTCACTCATTAATTGCACAATCCATCCGGTACCACGCGTAAATATTTTTTTTATGTGAGAAAGTGGCAAAAGAGCTGGCGGTTCACCTGATGTTAAGTGATAACCGCTGCCTACGGATATTTGCAACACCTTTTAATAATGTGGGCCCCGGCTACCTCACTCACCAGACGAAACGGAGAAGTGTAACTACTTTACGCCGGTGTTCTGTGAGGTCGTGGTACTGAACCGGGCGAACCTGCTCATTCGTGCAACAGCGAATACTGCTGCGGGCTCCTACCACAGTGTTTAAAATAGTTCATCGTCTATAAAATCGCAACTTTTTTGTACCATTAAGTTTTCTTGCACACTCAGTTGTGTAAACGCCTTTGTTTTATTGTTCCTACCATTAAAACATTAAAACATGTAGAAAAAGTACGAAAAGATTGTCGCCGCTGTGGGAATCGAACCCACGTCTGACGCTCTAGCCACTGAGCTAAACGGCTGATAGCCACAGCGACGAAAATCTTAACGCCTTCTTTCTACATTGTTATTTAGCATTTGAAGCAATGCTTGGCGAATCTATTGTTATATCCTTTCCAGCATACAAACAATTTCGACTATCGTTTTACAACGATAATTCGAACGAGAGATGTCGCCATTGCTTTTTTATAAATTTTAAAGTTTTTTATAGTGCTAATCTCTGCACTTAAGATTCCTACCATGTTTTATTGAAAAAAATGTGGTAAATCCTAAAGGAGGTCCACGGACCGGTTACATTTACTTTCTATGATCGACCCAGTTTCTTCAAATTTCTTGGCCACTCTGAATTATTCCCACATTAGCTGCATTTTCTCGAGCAAAAATTCCACGAACTTTGCGAGCAGTCTTAGCTTTAAATTTCAACACTTTTGTAATGGGTTTCCACAATGTTGTTTTGTGATGTACTCCATTTTTAATAATTGGAACAATCACGGGTGACAGCTGTGAATTTTCAAATTTGTCACTTGCTCAGAAAAAGTATTACACAAAATTTACGAAGTGCACTCTCATTGCGACACCCGTTATTATCAGACACCTGTTGGATTGCGTTTCCAGTAAGTCATTTTTTTATTGACCCCGTCAGCTGTATATATTTTGGAACACGAATATGGACACTTACAACGACACTTCAACGATTTTATCGTAATCCAATAACGTTTGGGCTTGCTCCTATACAGGGTGGCTTTTCTTAAGGTGCCCAAATTCACACAGGAGGTTCGGGTTCGGCTAGGATTTTTATTTATTGAAATAAAAACAATTTTTTTTTTAATTGCCATTCCATTCCCTAATTATAGAAGTCGCTGTAGAAGAACCCAAAAAAATTAAAACTAGCAAACTGGTTTAACTTATTTATTAGGACTTACAATTTAAACTATAACTAAACTATAGCTAGCCTAACCTAAGACAGATTCCGATCGATGCTAGATCAAGAATGACTTACTAAAATAAATCATTAACCAAAGTTCTTGAATACGGTAAGCAGCGGTGTCGACTGGCGACGTTTCCATGGACATCAATGTAGAGAATAGCTCGCTCCCACGAAGTGAGAGCCTGGATGTGTAATCCGTTTACATGGTTTCAGCAAAACTTGATCGTGGGATTCTTGTCTTGTATCTTGTATTAACTGATGTTTTTGCTTTCAGTCCCGAGACTATTAAAGCTTCATCTGACGCAGAACCGGTGGGCTAGTCAGAATCCACGGCTTTGGACCCTCCGCTGTGGGTAGGGCCGCGCATGTGCTCATGCGTGCGTTTAACTACGACATGTCATCTAAGGGCCATCGAAGTTGCGGTGCGGACCGACTCCCCGATGGCCGTCGACTGTGCAATTAGCTAATCGGTGGCTGCGGGCGGTGAGAACCGCCCTGGAACGCGGGTGTACCTTGTGTACGCGTTGTGTTGGTCTCGCCGTGCTCGGAGGCGAGAGCGAACTATTGTGTTTGTTGGTACACTAGCTGTGGGTGTAGTGTTATCCGGCGGGACCCCCGGCGGTGGGTCCGGCGTATCTAAGTCCCCTTCCTCGACCGGGTCGATGAGGACGTTTCGCGGGCGACGCTTGTTGACGTTCGCGTTTGTGTCGGGTTGGTAATTTGCTGCGCTTACCACCAGAGGGTTGGGGTGATGTTCGGCTCTATCGAAGAACCGTTTGATCAGGTCTTTAAAATATTCGCGAATCGTCGGGAGTCTGCAATCGCTGTGCAGATGGACGTTGCGTTGATACCACTGCGCACCGGTTGCACGGTGGATGAACTTATTTTGTACTATTTGCAGCTCGTACAAGCGAGTAGGGTGCGTGTGGGCGAAGATCATGCATGCGTAGGACATAATAGGTCGTACGCAGGTCTTATATAATAATAATTTGTGCCTTAAGGGCATTTTACTTTTAGCGTTAGTTAAATTGTGTAGCCGGCCGGAGACGAACGCGGCTCTATTACGAACGTTATTAATGTGCGTAGTAAATGACATACGCGAGTCGAAAGTGACTCCTAAGTATTTGACCTTTTTCTCCCAGGGGAGCGGTTGGCCATAAACGGATATTTGCCCCAACTTTCTGCATTGGCCAGGGCCATTATAAAGAAGTGACGGTTAAGTACTTCGTGTGAAGTGAATCGCCACACTCTTTTCGGGATTTATTTCTATTCTCCATTTGCGGAACCAATCGCCGAGGCGGTCGGCGGCGCTTTGGAGTCGAGTGGTTAGTATTCTAAGGTTGCGGTCTGAATAAAAGAGCGCGGTGTCATCCGCGAAAAGCGCGAGATTGACTTGGGGGTCTTTGGGTATGTCGCTCGTGTAGGGCGTAAAGAGCAAAGGTGAGAGGCAGGAGCCTTGTGGTACGCCGGCCGTGAGGCGGCGGCTTGTGGAGAGGGTGCCCTCGACTTGATATCGAAAAGAGCGATTCAACAAAAAGGCCCGGATGGTGTGTACGAGCCTATCTGGCATTTTGAGTGTGTACAGCTTGTAAAGCAAGCCGTTGTACCAGACCCTGTCGAATGTCTTTGCGACATCGAAGAAAAGAGCCCCTGTACTGATATGTTTCGGGCGGTTTAGGCCTTTTAGGATGTGCTCCGTTAGGCGGTATAACTGGTCGGGACAAGAGTGTCTAGCTCGAAAGCCGAATTGATCCGTCGGCAGAAGGCCGTTGGAAAATACGTGCTCTTTGAGCCTGTTTAATAAGAGCCGCTCGTAGAGCTTCCCCAGGCAACTGAGGAGGCTGATGGGATGATAGCTAGAGGGCTGGTTGGCTGGTTATCGTGGGATTGTGTCGCGATGCTGCGAAGACGCTGCTTAGTTGCACTTTTCTATGCGAACGAATATGTGTGAATTAACAATGAGGTAGTCATTCATAAATGCGTCGTATACTTTTAAAACACACTTGTTTGTTAGTTATGAATGATCGCGCTTAAAATAAATAAGTTGCCCATAAATCACGCACTTTTGGGAACGAAAATAACTATTAATAACCACGCCGATGTAATTAAATGGAAACGCAGCAAGTTCGATACAGGAAGATGACCGTTCGCACCGCCTTCCCTTTTCTAAGTGGCGTGCCCGAGCACGTCCAGAACACACCCGTGTCCGATGTCAATTGACTTCCACGACTCATAACCGTCAAGTCCGTTCTTTCACTTCCTGTATCGGCCTTACTCAAGCGCACTACTTGACGTTTCCAAGAGCTACCAATAGATGGTGTAGTAATCAAATTATAGCGCCACATCGTGATCCTGCGACATATATATCTTTTTATGAGAGAACGAATCACATCGACACATAGCCGCGCTCACTTCTGTGTGTGTGAAGTATGAAATCAATTTATACAAGACATGACTTTTTGGGCGAAAAGTAAACGCTTTTAATAATTTTTAATATACAGGCCTGATGTTTTAGAAGTACATACTTTGACATAATGTTAATTGAGCATTCCATAATAAAAAAAATATTAATATTTTATTTTGAAAAGAAATAACCAGAAAAATATCAATTCAAACACTGTTTGTTGATCCGGTTAAGAGTGGTCACCCTATTGATAAGCGGTTTAGTAATTATGCGTTCAGCGAAAAGTTTTAGTGCTCGTGAATAGGTTATTGCATTGAGACGGTAAGGCAGGAATTTTAATAGGGTGTCCATAATGTTTGAAAAAATTAAAAATAATATTTGAAAAAAAAAAAGAAAAAAAGAGATCATAAGTACGTACCAGATTCAGATTTAGAATCAAATTCTGCATATGATCTGTTAATATGTCCGTCGTCTATAAAATCACCCTGTATACTGTCGATTTTTAAATTAATAAATAAAATTAAAATATATAGTTCTTTTTACTTTAATAGACTTAAAATGTAATGATTTGTTATTGTCCTCAGAGAGTGACATTCCATGCGACACAGAACCCTGGCACTAAACACGAGTCTGAGAAAATAGTGGAAATAAAGAAGGGCCCCATACCCGGGGGAGCCACCAGGAGCTGGGTGTTGGACATGGAGATGCCGGTTATGGATGTGTACAACATGGGGCCCTGCCGATACATTGACATAGACTATGAGTTTAAGGTATGAGCTTTTCAAGTGTTACATATTACATGTCTTCAATTTTTCGATAGGACTACGGTTTGCTAATAGATATTAGAACTTTGACTATTTTACGGGGTTTATGTGATACACGATTAGAAACGGTCCCGTGAAGCCCTTGTGCATCTAATAAAACTTTGTCGGCCTTCAATATTTACAACTAGTCAGGGAGCAAAAGCACTCTCCTTGCAAGAGTGCAAGCGTCGGCCTAGCTTCCCTTTGGCTCATCGGCTCATCGGGTCGCAGGTGGCCGTGAGCCCCGAGGGCTGCCGCGGCGACAGCGAGCAGTCGCGCCGCATCGTCATCGGCACGCCGCCCCTCGCGCAGCCGCCGCACCACCCCTTCCCCGCTCCCAACCCGCCCTATCCCGCGCAAAGCGCCCCCTCCCCGCCCTATCCCGCGCAAAGCGCCCCCTCCCCGCCCTATCCCGCGCAAAGCGCCCCCTCCCCGCCCTATCCCGCGCAAAGCGCCCCCTCCCCGCCCTATCCCGCGCAAAGCGCCCCCTCCCCGCCCTATCCCGCGCAAAGCGCCCCCTCCCCGCCCTATCCCCAGAAAGAGTTGCTTCAGTGATGTATCTGACAGTACCCAACAATACAAGCCGTTTGACAGTCGAGCACATTAAACAGAGGGTGCTCCTAATGTCCATATCAGATGATTATTGGTTGGAATAAATTGTATTTGATTGAGTCGATTATTAATAAATATTACTTTTTTCTTCATATCTATTCTTTTTCACGAATTTATTTTCCAAACGATTCAAGAAATTCTGTTTTGAATGGTTTGAGAAATATAAATAATAAAAGAAAACTTATGTCGATATATCGATTTATCGATAGGTTTTTAAAATGTCGATACGATAAATATCGATATATTTTTTTTACTAGGTTTAGGGACTTTCGTTGTATGTGTGTGTGGTTAATGTCTTATGAGCGGTGGCAAGTAAATAAATAGTACGGCTTGATGGAGATAATAAGCTAAGCACAGTATAACATCTAATAATAGCGATAAGCGTAAGCAATCTAACACTCGCGTCAACTCGATATATGCAGTCGTTAGGTTAGGCGGCGTGCGCTTCGCGTGGTAGTTTTGCAACTGGCTCGCTTTCTGTAGTATGACTTTACTCTATGAACTGGCTCGAACGACCGCGGGTCATCTGCGCCAACCGCCGCCAACGCATCGTGATACTAGAAGTCGGCGTTACAAATCGTATCAGATATCAAAACTATATATTGGTACAATATCTGAAAATCGCTTACTGGCTCGTTCAAAATCTATATATTTTACAATATCTGAAATTTCCGAAATCTGATGTACCGAGTACTCGCTCACTCGCTATACCAACACGAATTGCGATATCATACGCTTTTGCCACAATATCAGATTTTTAGACAAAGCGCGTGAAATACAAATATTTACTAGTTAGAGCAGTACGGCAACAATATCAGATTTTTAAACAGATTTTATGAATAAGTTAAGTAATTTCGAATCTTAACATCATGCAAATAAGATCCGTTCCATTTAAATACTAAGCATGGTATCAACGATTACTATACCTTTTAATTATTTTATTTAGCATTAGCCTTGAGCCGTAGCGAGCGACATAGCGCGTTAGATACAAATATTACACTAGTTAGAGGGGTACGGCAAACAATGCACAATATCAGATTTTCAAACAGATTTTGTGATTAAGTTAAGCAATTTTGAATTTTAAAAGCATGGAAAAAAACTCTGTTTCATTTAAACACGAATTAACGATGTCTTTAAATTTTGTTTAGCCTTGACCTGGAGTGCATTGATACTTAAGCACGTAATAGTAAGGGATGCCAACTTAGGAATTTTCTTCCTAAATTAAGGAAGAAAAATTTTTAGGAGTTAAATTTTATTCGCATTTTTGAAAAAAAAAAGTACACAAAACGAAAAAGAAAAATATAATTTATAATTCCGTGCTGCATTGGTGGACGTCAGGCCAAGGCTTACTATAATATTGAATGTTAATAATTAATAAAAATATTGTCACTCACGTTTTTTTTATGAATTTAAGGTGGATACGCGTACGTAAAATATCTAGATATTAAAATACATAATTTCGAAATCTGATATTTGAAATCGAAATCCTGATTCAGATACGGTTCTCAGAAAAAGCGATACGAGCCATCTCTACGCGATACGTACCGTTATTTTGTTGTCGCTGTGTAGTGACGCGGTGCAAGTCGATAATTCGGTTCACTTGTTATCGATGGATTGGATTGTCGATAATTTATTAAAAGTTATGATGTTTAATGTAAATATGAATATCGCAAATTATTATTGATAGTTAAATACATTATGTGATGAATGTGTTACTGTAAATATATATGTTGTTCAATAAAAATGTGTAAGAAAAGTAAAAAGTATAAAAGTACGCCACAGGATGTTAGTACTAATTTATATAGAATATGTTACACCGTACCGTCACCGCGCCCGGCGGGAATACAACAAGAGCGAAGAAATTAGTTTAAAGAGATAAAGATATTGACTGTTGCTTCTCAGTTCATACTTGAAATTTTTTTCTATATCCATGAAAATAAGGATGAATTTTCAAGACATTGTAATGTGCTGATATAAATAACTAGGAACGAACATAAATTGGAGCCTACCCACAAGTAAACTTCTTCTCGTAAATCTTTTATTAGACAATGTGTACGTTTCTAAAACAAAAGTCCAGAAAACGTATTCGTTCAATATCCACTTTTTCGTTGTCCATTTTTAGGGTTCCGTACGTTAAAAGGTAAAAAAGGAACCTTTGTCGCCACCGATTTTGAATGTTATAATTTGTACTAGATACTGAGTTCTATTTTCCAATATTATTATGACGGTCTAATGGGTAGGTACGGAACAGTGGGCGTATGGACTTTTTTTGTTATCGAATATAATGCTAACGGTCTGTCAGGCGCGACGTGCACATTCCGCTGTCTGTCCGCTGTACAATAAAAAGTCATATCATATCATATCATAGAATACAACTGGAGCGCCCCTGTTGTATTCCCGTCAGGCGCGTCGCGGCGAGGTTAGAATAATATTTGAGTGAGTGTTCGATTTGTGTTGTTTTACGTAGCATTACACATTTAAATAAATAAATTTCGAAGTGACACGCATTACCATCACCTGAACGTAATCGTTTGGGGGGAATGGTGATGGCCGTGAGTTATTTATCACCACTATTGCACACTAATTTGACTGTAGATTCCCTATTGTATAAGGGACCTTTGGTTTTTTCGACTCATTTATTTTTTTCGAATGCCAAACCATATGCAATCAAATTAATTCTATTATTATAATTAATAAATCAATTATTTTTAGCATGTGCCTTCTACCATTAAATCACGCGGATTGATGACGAAAGTACGACAAAAGTGTGACGTTTTCCGGGATAAATATTTTCTTATCGTGACGTTTATTATCCATTAACAGTTACTGTTTCCAAGTGCGGGTTCTTAGTGGACCAATGAACTTCTCATTCTCAAAGGGGCTAGCAGAAGGCGGTTAAACGTTTATTATAGACTACTACAACAGCCATGAGGCTGCAGATGTGTAGCCTGCCTTTTGAAAAGTAATACCTGGTTACCTCACCCATCAGACGAAACGCAAAATGTATAACAATTCTATTTCACGCCAGTCTTCTGATTGGCCGAGGTACTTCCCCGGACCAGCCTACCCTCTCGTGCAACGGCGGAAGCGGCATCTTGGCCCGAACTAAATAACAACATAACATGGAGAACCTAAATTAAAAATAAAACTCTATAACATACTATAACACGTCTTAAATAGCTGATGATTTACACTTCAGTGAGTAACGAACAAGAAGATAAAATTATACTTGTCGTCTATTTCCAGGTGAGTGTTACCGTAGGAGGAGGCTTTGTTGATTTGCCCTCGGGCCCCTCCCCCACCGCGCCCTACAACCCGGACTTTGTCCGCGACCACCAGCCGACCTAGTTCGTACATTACGAACAAAATATATCAGTCTGAGGGTAACATTATATATTGATTATTATTATTTTTTGACATATTTTTTGTGACCTCAAAAGTCTTGGGGGCTTAAAAACTGCGTTATTAATAACGCAATTATTTATGAAGTTGTATAATTGTGTTTTACACAATTTAAAAGTTAAGTTTAAACTTTTTTGATATTTTTAACAATTTGAATATTAATTTTAAGATTAAGAATATTTTAATACTGTAATGAAATACTGGGACGCTATGTAACTTTATTCATTTTCTTCTCTCCATTTAATATTTGTCTCAGCAATAATATGTATTTTCTAAATTTTGTGAGTAAAATAAGCAACGGCTGATATTTATACACGAATTATAGTTATATATACCGTTACGTAAAATATAAGTCATTATATTGAGATCATTTTTATCGAGTAATAGAATATTTCATATTTTTACGTTCACACGATAGTTGAATATCGTGGGAACGATTTCTTATAATACTCAATACAAATATATTTCTTTTGGGAAAGAATTATTTTTAAATGATTATTAATGATGTATTTTCTTAAATGTAACTTTGCCTAGTCATGCTTAAACATGCGACACAGTGCCTTTTAAAAAACTAAGCATTTATACATGTATATTTATAGTATGTGAAAGATGTGTATTTTTATAATAATAATATGTTTTTTCGTAAGTTTACATGATTTTATTAAAAAAAATTAAAAATGGTTAATTATAATGTAGGTTTACAATTGTACGTACTAACCCCCCACACTATGCGCAGTCTGTCCTATATTTACCCGACGTTATACAAGTAAGAAACTATACAATATTGCATGTTTTTAAATATTAGCTCCAATGACTTACAATGTATTTTAAGAATGGTGAGACTTCTAAGTACTTATACCTATAAAGAGACCTGGTCTCTAAATTCTTGCGTAAAGTGTCTTCCTCTACGAAGTCCGTAGATTATTGGTAACTAAATTTATGGGATATTTTGTACTAATTCGTTACAGCACTAGGATACAAGTAACTAGGGTGCACTATAATATGCCACCGATTATCTTACCTCAATCATTAATATATTTTATTTACAAGACCACATCACACTCACAAAAAGTTGTATTTATGTTGTATTTTTAATTTTAAGCAAAATATTATTTTTTATATTTTGTAATGATATTCAGATATAAAAATTATGTCCAAATTTTTTCGTGGTTTTATTCTACCTTCAAACAAAACAAAATGAACATGACAAATGTATTACATTATACTATCTAACATATATAAAAAAATCGTGTCACGATGTATGTTAGCGATAAACCCTGAAACTACTGAACCAATTTTTATCAAATTTTGTAAGAATTTGTAATTTGTTCTAACTTGGTCTATAGGGGTTTTACCTCAATTATTGATCTCAATATTTGTTTATAAGATAACAAAGAGCTATTTGTGAGTCCCATAAGATTCTAACAGATGGCGGTGTAAGATAAATATCGGCTGGATTGAGTCAGTATCCGATAGATGGCACTATGCTAAAAGTAAAAACAAAGACCCGGTAGAATTGGCGCATACGAAGTTGCGCG